GGAGTTTTGCTGTTGTCCAGGCTGGAGTACAATGGTGCAATTTCAGCTCACTGCAACCTTCACCTCCTGGGGTCAAGCGATTCTCCTGCCTTAGCCTCCTAAGGATAGGTGAGTAGCTGGGATTACAGGCATGCACGACCACACCCAGATAATTTTTTCTTTTTTAAAAATTATTATTTTGAACAGAGTCTAGCTCTATCGCCCCAGGCTGGAGTGCAGTGACGTGATCTTGGTTGACTGCAGCCTCCGCCTCCTGGGTTCAAGCTATTCTCCTGCCTCAGCCTCCAGAGTAGTTGGGATTACAGGCGGCTGCCACCATGCCCAGCTAATTGTTGTATTTTTAGTAGAGACAGGGTTTCACCATATTGGCCAGGGTGGTCTCGAACTCCTGACCTCATGATCTGCCCACCTTAGCCTCCCAAAGTGCTGGGATTACAAACATGAGCCACAGCACCCGGCCTAATTTTTGTATTTTTAGTAGAGACGGGGTTTTGCTATGTTGGTCAGGCTGGTCTCTAACTCCTGACCTCAGGTGATCCACCTGCCTTGGCCTCCCAAAGTGTTGAGATTACAGGTGTGTTGAGATTGAAAGTGAGTAGTTCTTGCAGTTGGGTGCAGTGGCTCACGCCTGTAATCTCAGGATGTCTTTCCAGATGGTCAGGGTATCTGTCCTCTCCACTACTACAGGAAAAAATGAACACTAATTTTCCTTAGCATTTCACACCCTAATTTGCTCACCGTGTGTGTCCATCTTTCCTTGTTGTCTATGGGACAGTAGCTTCCTTATCTTTGTAACCATCCCAGTGTTCAGCACAGTGCCTGCCTCAACAGAGGCATCAAAAACATTTGTTGAGGAGTATGTCTCACATACACCATTGTGAGCTCATCTGCATACCTTATGGCCAAGAAGGGCTCAGCAAACGTGGGCTGAATAAATGAGAACTGCTCACTGTCCATGTTTTCTCTTCCAGCCTGAACCCTCCATCCTATACCCATAGGAGGCAGTGACCCTACAAGCAGCTGTTTCTACTCTAGCACATGACCCTGATCATACACCTTTGTTAGCCTAGGACTACTGATCCTCCCAGATCCAGCCTCTGTTGCCCTTTCCTACTCCTTTTTAAAAATCCTTCCTGCTCTAAGATCCACATTCTGCTTACCTTCCCCCAAACACACCAGAATGTTCCAAATGTATGTGCTACTGCATGTGCACTATTACATTTGCCTGCTTCTCTAACTGAAACACCCTTTTCCCCTCTTGTCCACCTAGGAAGTGGCTAATTCAGACTATCCCCTCCTCCAAGAAGCCCAGAGAACAATAACCATTCTCTTCCCTGTGCTCTGCTGTACCTTGTAACTGTTGGACTCATCCCAGTGTAGTGTTACTTGCTTGTTCCAGTGTCTTGGTATCCTCTCCGTCTACCATAGTACCCAGCAAGAGGGTCTCAGTGACTGTATGCTAAGAGAATCAAGACATCAATATTCTGCCAGGACAGTAGTGTCACCTTTCAGAGATAGAGATGGAGTGTTCCCCTTCACCAGGGCTGGAGTGCAGTGGCATGATCTTGGCTCACTGCAACTTCCGATTCCGGGGTTCAAGCAATTCTTCTGCCTCAGCCTCTTGAGTAGCTGGGACTACAGGCAGATGCCAGCATGCCCAGCTAATTTTTATATTTAGTAGAGACAGCGTTTCACCATATTGGCCAGGCTGGCCTCAAACTCCTGACCTTGTGATCCGCCTGCCTCTGCCTCCCAAAGTGTTGGGATTACAGGTGTGAGCCACTGTGCCCAGCCTATTTTTATTTTCTTTGAGACAGAGTCTTGCTCTGTCACCCAGGCTGGATTGCAACCTCTGCCTCTCAGGTTCAAGCGATTCTTTTGCCTTAGCCTTCCAGTAGCTAGGACTACAGACCACGCCCAGCTAATTTTTGTATTTTCAGTAGAGACGGGGTTTTGCCATCTTGGCCAGGCTAGTCTCCAACTCCTGGCCTCAAGTGATCCACCCACCTTGGCCTCCCAAAGTGCTGGGATTACAGGTGTGAGCCACCGTGCCCAGCCTTTCAGAGATTTTATGTTCAGCTCTACCACTTCCTAGCTGTGTTACTATGGGCAAAACACTGTAACTCTCTGAGCTCCCATTCTTCATTCATTGGAGCGACAGCACTTTCCTCCTAGGGTTGTCATAAAAGTTAGATTAAGGCAAGGCCTGAAATATACACAGAGCAGCATCTGGTACACAGTGAGCATTCAATTCACAGCAGCTATCACTGCTACCATGGCTTCTGGTCCTTCCTCATCTCCTCTCCACTGAAGAAGGTAGTACCCACAGATGCTTCAGAAGCCACATGTGGGGCTTCCTAAACCAGAATCCCACATCTCTACAATATGCTTCACACACATGAAGGAAAGAACCACAGGACACAGGCTTGTTGGGAGTATAAAAATAGGACTTTTTCCTCATCACATCAATTATCAAAGAAACAGTACGTAACAAAAATACAAAGCTCTGGTGGATTTTTTTGTCTTTTTTTTTTTTTTGCCCC